TTTACTGTTGTGTCCTCTTAGCTATTGAGTTGAAGAGGCAGAATTATTTTTGGCAATAGAGAGGTGGAATAGATAGAGGCCATTCCACTTACAGTACGAGGGGTGGTGGAAGCTGGGTGTCTCCAGACGGTTGCTTTAGAGTCAGAAGAGCAGTGGCCATAAGCAGAGACTTCAGCTGGTGGCAGTAGACTGGAGTAAGGCTGTGGAAGGATATGTAAGTTAAGTCGAATTTGAAAGAAGGAATGTCGTTTACATTTTGAATAAAATTACGCCATTCATATGCACAGGGCATCTCAAAGCCCTTTAAAGCAAATTAAGTGTATTTTGAATTGTAGTCACTATTGTAATGCAGGAAACATAGCAACCAGTTTGCACACTGGAAGTTCTCCCAAACAGCAATGCCTTTGCCTAGATGATCTGCTAATACCAGTGAATGCAGAATGAATATTGGCCAAGATACTAGGTTGAACTCCATTGCAGTCTTGTAAGTTGGGTACCTTTATCATTCATCTAAGATCAGGACAGACAGGGTCTTAGTTTAACTTCTGAAGGACAACATCTCCAACAGGGCAGGGCCGTCCATTTTGCTGTGTTATCCTAGATTTGGTGTTTATCTGATATTGATGTTCGGATGATAATGAACCAGCAGACCTTCCTGGGTTATGCAAGACTAAACGCATTTGGAGGGAAATCAATTGAAAGTAATTGGCAGTCTAAGCTGAAGTAGACTCAATGAATAATTGTTTGCCATTACCGTTGACAGTGCAGTTATTCCGAAAATAATCCATAGAAAGTATGCATCTTGCTTTAGTTCGGAGGTTTACAATTAAAACGGTAAATATCCTTCTGTAAGTGTGTGGATCCTGACATTCATTATATTTCTGTGTACAATAATGCCCAAGTGTAGATTGCTTATTTAATGTCTGCAGTTCATAAAGATGGGTCAATGCAGGGCCTAGCTTGATGCCATTGTCATTTAGATCCCAGCAGCACTGTGAATCTTGCATCAGTTTCTAACCAGGCACAGCAAATCCTCAATTGACTGCAGTTATACTTTATAGAAAGGTTTGAGAATTGACCAGTTTTAAAATTGTTCTGACTGTCTGGAAACATATCAATGAAAACAAAAGCTGCAAAAGAACTATAAAAGAGTAAAGATGATGTGATGTAATATACAGGTCGTTCACTGGACATTGCATTGAAAGTTTCTGAATAAAATAATGAACACAAACAGAAAACAGAAATTGCTGGAAATACTCAGTCTAGATAACTCAAAACGTTAACTTGCTTTCTCTCCATGGATGCTGCCTGACCCGCTGTGATCTTCAGTATTTGTTGTTTTTAGTACAGATTCCAGCATCGACAGTAATTTGCTCCTTTAGAGTTCAGTCTTTTTCCTATGCATTATAGGGATTTTGTGATTTTTTTTTTTTGACTCTGCAATTGTTGTTGGTTAGTTAGCATTGTGTACTATCAGTAATTCTGACTCTCTCAATCCTAATTTATTTCCATTTTCTTTTCTTTTAAATAGCCAGCAGATACGGAGACCGGTGAGTATCTTTTTTGGGGGGATGATTTATTATATCCGGCCTATTGGGAATAGTTCATGGAGCTACAGCTCCATGTTTGCCTTGGCATCTAGATTACATTATGAATGTCTCAATTTTTTTTTCTGCTTTGCCCTTTTATTTACTGTTCCACCTTTTCCATTGCAGGTTAGAATCATAGTATAACACAGAAAGAGACTATCCAGCCCCATTGAAACTATGCCAGTCCCTACGACATGTTTTGCTGGTTAAAAGCTATTAACTTTTCTGTTTTGATATAGCTCATATGTACTTAACTGTGGATGTGCCTCTTTGCAATGTAAATTAACAAGATAATTACCTCGTCCATATTTCATTTTGTGAAACGGCCCCAGCAGCACTGAGATATTTTTCTTAGCATTTGCTATTACACAGGAGTTCTTTCATCAAAGGCCAGACAGCCTTTGGGTCAAATCCATCAGAGTCTGATCATCGAATAAATGTCCCCTCTGTATGCTGACTAATATTCTTTGCATCGTGGATTTTAACAAGTTTGATAAAGATTCCTGTGGCCATGCAAGCGCAGAAAATTGTTCAAAAGGAACAAGGGTGTGGCTATGTCACTGGATTGTTGATTCTGAAGCATGGACTAAAAAGAGTCCCACACCCACAAAGTGAAGGATTGAGTGTTTGGATTTTTTATTTTTAGTTCTGTATGTAGGATTCTTGCTCTCTGTAAAAGTGGCTAAGAAGCTGATAGATTATCAGATCAGAAGCTCATTTTGTTTAGGGAATGAGAGCTGCAGTCCTTACCTGTTCTGGTTTACAGAATGTTGCCTGGTTTGAAGGGTATTGACAAGAGGAGAGACTGGACAAATTTGGTTTATTTTGACTTGAATGTCAGAGGCTGACGGGCGACCTGATAGAAGTTTACAAAATTGTGGGACGTATAGATAGAATGGATAGTTAGAGTCTTTCTTCCAGTGTCGAAGTGTCTAGGAGACATAGGTTTAAGGTAAAAGGTGGAAAGTTTAAAGACGTAAGAGACAAGTTTTTGCCACAGATGGTGGTAAGTGACTGGAACGTGCTGCCAGAGGAGGTGGTAGAAGAAGTTACAGTAGCACCATTCAAGTGGCATCTTGACAGATACATGAATAGGCATGGAAGAGAGGGATATGGAGACAAAGTGTTTATAGTTTAGAAAGGCATCCTGTGTCGTCACAGTTTTGGTGAGCGGAAGGGTCTGTTCCTGTGTTGTATTGTTATTTGCTGTTTGTTGTGTGACTCCAGCCGCACTCCAATGTGGTTCATTCTTAACTGCCCCTGAACTGGCACCTCGGTAGAAAAATACCCATTGCCACCATCTCATGACAATGAGGAGTGGCTAATAAATGGAAATCTCATCACAGTGCCTGTGTCCTGAGAACAAAATGTGGCAGTTGCTTGGAGAGAGACTGCGAGTCAGCTGCTGTGAGCGGTGAAGGAGTATCTTCCCTGAATAGCAGGGAATGCAGTTGGCAGGAAATGGATGGAGTGTCGCTGTGGCATGTTGCAGGATCCGAGTAAAAGCGGCCCATGTTATCCCTGGCAGAGGAGTGCTTAATCTCAAAACTAGCTGCCTGAAAATTACATGTTCTATTTTCAGCACTAATTCTTTTATCCTTGCGCAACTTTTACAGGGTTTTAACTTCAGTTTAAAAAAAAATCACCTTAAGAGGAAATCAGATCCACCTTTGTCATCTCTTGAGTTGTCGGGGTAACTGTCGCTGCATTTAGCTTTTTAAAAATATCATACCGGAGGAAATGAGTCCTGAAAAATTTATTATGATGTAACTAATGTCTTTTATTTTGTTTCATCCAGGCCCTGGGTCAGCAAAGGATCTGATTAAGTCAATCAATGAGAAGTTTGCAGGAGCTGGAGGATGGCAGGGGGCAGAATCATATCCTTTCTGTGCAGCAGAGACCCATGTTTGTCCAGAGCCTCAAGTTAAATACAGGAAAAAAAGACATGTTTGAGGGATGGGTGTTGACCAGGGCGCTGGGGAGAACTCTTCTCAATGAGAAGCTTGTACCATGGGGCCTTTAACATCAGCCGGAGAAAGGGCAGATTGGGCTGGGTTTAACACCTCATTAGAAAGAAGGCAGCTCCAACAGAGGAGCGCTGTCTCTGTATTCCACGTGAGTGTGTGTCAACCTGGAATGAGATTTAAAACCTATGAGGATATGAACATTTAACATGTTCATTTGGAATTTCATTGTTAGTTGTTTGATGACTTTCAGAGGAATGATTTGAGTGATTGTAATCTTCTGTGGTTGCTGAATTTAAGTTTTTCACTTTATACACAAATCTCATCACTTTGCAACTGCCAATCACTGTACTGACAATCCAGAGGTATGGTCTCATAATCCAGGGATACAGGTTCAAATCTCAGCATATTAGCTGGGAAATTGAAATTCAATGATTAAATAAATCTGGAGTGGAAAGCTAGTATCAATCATGGTGACCATGAAGCTACCAGAGCGCTATTAAAAACCCATTCAGTTCACTAGGAAGGAAGTCTGCCTTATTTACCCAGTTTGATCTGTATGTGACTCCAGAATCTCGACAGTGTGCTTGACTCTTAACTGTCTTGTGAAGTAACCAACCCACTCACTTGTTTAGGGGTGGGTGAAATACATTTGCCTTGCTGGCAATATCTCTGTTTATTAGACCAATATCCATATGTGGAATTAAACAGCAAAAGAGTCTGAGACATACAATGTTTTTATTGTAAATCTGTGATCTAGGCACAAACACCAGTTTCAACTATTCTTTTCTGGATCCTTTTCCTGTCCAGAAGCCAGCCAACCAATTAACAAACTAACATTGTGCTTCAAAAGCCCCCTAGAGCCTAAGCCAGCTTTTAAACGCAAAGTCCAATGGGCATCAATTCTGGAGCTGTTCAAGTTTCTCTTAGAGGTCTGCATTTCCAACACTGACATCTGCACCTCTGAATTTGCAGAGGGCTCGTTACTTACAATTTTGTTTTTTTACAGTTTTTGTTACCTGACTAAAATGGTGTATTCTTTCTACCCTCCTGACCTCTTCAAAAGATGCAGTGGGTGAATAGCATTTCTCATTTACGTCTTGATTGGACTATGAGGCAGTAGTGATTTCCAACCTATTCTTAAAAATTAGATTGGTGGGGATATTAAACATGAAAGTGCTATTTCTTTAAATTTTTATATTGAAAGAAATTATGCTGAGCTTGAAGTTTACAGTTCTTTTCCTGTAAAATTTTACTGTTCAGGCCTTAGCTTTTATTTATTCGTTCATGGGATGTGGGCATCATTGGCTAGGCCAGCATTTATTCCCCTCCCTAATTACCCAGAGGGCAATTGAGAGTCTACCACATTGCTATTGGCCTGGAGTCACACACAGTCCAGACCAGGTAAGGATGGCAGTTTCCTTCTCTAGAGGACATTGTGAACCTGATGGGTTTTTCCTGACAATTGACAATTCCAAATTTTCTTTTCGGCTTCCCTACGGATGCATTCAGGCAAAGCAACACGATCAGTGTTTCCTTAACTGAGTATCAAGGCAAAGAGACAAGATGAGAAGAAGCGCCTTGGAGATTTCTTTGGAACGTCAGACAGCTATGCAGAGTGTTACCCAGCCACGTAAGTGTTGGAAATCCCTGACATAAAATGTGTAGACCAATGTTCTTCAGAATTCCAAAGGAAACCTCAACATGTACAGTGCCAAATAACAATGTATTAGTAGTTTTGGTAGAAGGAACATGAAACGTCCTACTAGAGGGTGGGTTGGTAATCAAAAGACACAGTTAAGACAGCCAGCAAAACTAAAGATTGGAGAAGAGGGGAAATAGTAAATACCACGAGTTGTTCTCATTGAAAGTTCTCAAGTTGTTGTTGAATGTGCTGACCTGAAAGCTGGTAGAAGCAGAATCAGTAATAACTTTCAAAGAAGAATTGATTATACACTTGAAAGAGGGTGTGGGTCATGTCAGGGTTTGGACAATTTGGACAGCTGTTTCGAAGAGCTGGCACAGGCAAAGCCCCTTTCTGAATTGGGAACTTCAATCGTTAGTAGAAGCCAACCTCTTAAATCCAGAGTGGGATAAATTTATCAAACAATAAAGTAATGCACACAGTGCCTCTCATCTAGTGTTAAGCGCTCCCTCACAGGGTGACAGGGTTCCCACGCACTTGAGCCAGTTGAACCACTTGTACATTGATTTTGTATTTTTCCACATTTCTGCCCTATTACAGTCTGGATGATATGGCTGTTGACAGTGATGAAGAGGTCGATTACAGTAAAATGGATCAGGTAAGAAGTTAGAAGCAAAAGTTATGTGCTACAATAGCTATATGGCTTATACTGTATCCAGTTATTAAACACTTTTTGGCAATACTGGTGCACAGTAGGACTTCCATGTCCGCGTCCTTTGGGGAAAGAAATCTGCTTCCCTGATCTGGCGAGTTCTGGCCAACATTTGATTCCAGAGCCGCCAAAATTTTGTTGACCCTTAACTGTACAATGGGTAATGATACCCATACCGCATGAACATTTTTGTTTTGAAAATGGTGCCATTGTGAGAGCATCAGTACAACATTAACTACTTGCACATATATAGTGCATTTAAGGTAGTAAAAGGCCTCAATGACTCCAGCACCTTGTATTAAGGCACTTTTTGTTTTGATTAAAACTTATTTGCTGTTTTCCAAAAGACATTAATGGAGATGCAATGGCCTAGAGGTATTATCACTAGACTACTAATCCAGAGACCCAGGTTCAAATCCTGCCATGGCAGATGGTGGCATTTGAATTCTTTTTTTAATGAAACCTGAAATTAAACATCTAATGATGACCATGAATCATTGTTGATGGTCAGAAAAACCCATCTGGTTTATTAGTACCCTTTAGGGAAGGAAATCTACCATCCTTACCACTTGATTCCAGATCCACGTCAGTGTGATTTACTCTTAGCCCCTGGGCAATAAATGCTGGCCTAGGCAGCGATGCCTAAATTCCATGAATGAATTTAAAAAAAACAATTAATTTAATGGTAGGTTTTCTTCGTGTTTAGTGTGTTTTCTGCAGGATTCATTTGATTGTCTAGGCCCACCCATTGCTGTTCTCCATCCTTTCCTCATCTCTCAATATTGTTACCTGAATATACCACTCCTACTCTGAACTGAGGTTGACTTACTCAATGCAGATCAAGAATCAATGCACAACTTTCCCCATTCTACATGCCATCTCTACCGGCTAGTGTGCTTACAGAATAATTTCTCAGGAAATATCAGAGACAGCTGTTAATTTCTATTACTTTCCTCTATAGGGCAATAAGAAAGGGCCACTTGGGCGCTGGGATTTCGACACACAGGAGGAGTACAGTGAATACATGAACAACAAAGAAGCATTACCCAAGTAAGTACACAGAGTTCATCTTACCAGTTGCTGAAGGCAAGCTGCCATCTCTTATGAAACCACCCTGAACATTATTAAGCAGAACACAGTTGTAGACTGGCCAAACAGGCTATGAGTCACAGACAGCCTCCTGAAATTCATTTCAGTTTGAGATTGTGTTTTATATTTCTCATTATGTTCTACTGAGATCTGGACAGCATTTATACATGGACCGATAAGTAGCCAGTAGCATTGTTGCCACCCTAGTGCTAGGCATTGACCATCTCCAACAACAGAGTCCAATCACTTTCTCATAATGTCCAGCGGCTGTCATGTAATCCTGTACCATCAACATCCTGGGAAAACTGAACTGGGCCAACCAAATTCATGACATTGCTACAACAGTGAGTATTCTGCACTGGGTGTCTCACCTGACTCCCCGTAGCCCCTCTGTCATACACATAGCAAAAATCAGGAGCGTGATGAAGTACTCTCCACACCTCTGGATGAGCACAGCCGCAACAACCCTCATGCGGTTCGATATTATCCAAGACAAAGCAGACCAGTTGACGCCATGCAAATTGTTCACTCCCTCCACCACTGGTACATCTTGGCTGCAGAGTGTACTGTTTTCGTGATGTACTGCGGCAATTTTCCAAAGATTCTGTGGCAACACCTCCACAAACCTGAAGGACGATTTGGGCAGTCACCCACCCGCTTACATGGATGTAAATCCTTGTTCCTGTACCATCAGTGTGTCACCCTACCTCAGCAGTGCAGGATCAACTTCAAAATTTGAGGACACAAAATTTGGCAGTGTTGGTGAATTGGGAAGAGGATCATAATACACCTCACTGGAGAGAGTGCAGACGAAATATTCCAGGACATTGCGTGGGCTGGAAAGTTTTAGTTATGAAGAGAGATTGGACAGACTGGAGTTATTCCTCTTGGAGTAGAGGAGACTGCAGTGGGACATGATTGAGATGTATAAAATGATGAGGGACACAAATAAGGTAGACGGGAACTTTCCCCTTGCTGGTGGGATTAACGACCAGAAGTTAAAGGGCTGAAATTTAGAGGGGATGCAAGGATTTTTTCTCACCTAGATGGTGTGGGTGATCAGGAACTGACTGCCTGTAAGGGTAGTAGAGGTAGACCTCCTCATGACATTTAAGAATGTAATTGTTCACTTGTGATACCAAGGCAAATAAGAAAAAGAACAAAGTTCTGGAAAATGAGATTAGAATAATTAGGTGCTTGTTTCTGATCACCGCAGACACAATGGACTGAAGAGCCTTTTTCTCTGCTGTAAACCTCTAAGACTCACAAGCTTAGCCAAGCTGTGACAAGTAGCAGATGAAACTTAATGACTAAATGAAGAACTTTTATGAAGTGAAACATTTTGCATGGAAGAATGAAAGTACGCAATATAAAATATAAGAGTACAATTTTATAATGGGTGCAGGTAGAGAAAGACTGGGGATATTTGTGCATAAATCTATGGCTGAGCAATTTGGGAAAGTGAGTTAAAAGAACCACAAGATCCTGAACTTTATAAATAGAGGCATTGAGTGCAAAGACAAGTTGTAGAAAATATTTCTGAAACATTACTTCAGTTGGGACAGAACTATTGTGCCCACTTCTGGACAGCGTTACTTAGGAAGAGAGAAAATGAAAAAAAGATTCATGAAGAGTTCTAAGAGATTTAAGTTGTGTAGTTTCACCAGAGATCCTGGGTTTGTTCTCCTGTGAAAGAGAAGTTTGAGAGGAAATTAGTAAGAGGTGCTGAAGATCGTGAGGGATCTGAGCAGAGAAGACTGGAAGAAACTGTTTCCATTGCAGAGGGGATGAGAAATTTAAGATTAATGGCAAAAAAGGCAAGGACGACATGTAGAGAAGCATGCAGCAAGTGAAGAAGATCTGGACTGCAGTGTCTGAATGTGGATAGTCTCTTGCAGACAGTTTTCAATTTGGATTTGAACAAACCCCTGGAAAGAGAGAATTCCCACAGTTATAACGAAGAGGACAAGCCTAGTTGCTGCCTTGGAGGGACAGAATGGCCAAGACATAATTGTTTGATTCCTTCACACCTATCACCAGTTCAGCATGCTTTACAGCCAACAAATTACTTTTGAAATGTAGTATCTATTGTAAGGTAGCAAATGCCACCGCCAATTTCTGCGCACAGCAATCTAGCACAAAAAGCAGGATCTGATCATTAACCTGCAATTCTTGCAGGAGTGCCCAACATTTTTCTTTTTAACATGAGAGGCATACAGGACACTAAGTTAGTGTCTCATCCAAAAGATGCCTCGTCTGACAGAGCAGCACTCTGAGTCCTGCACTAGAGTGTCAGCCTGGACTTTGTGATCTGATATCTGGAGTGGGAATTAAACCAAAATGTTCTAACTTATCCACAGCTGAAGCCTCCCCTGTCAATTCATGTTGGTACTATCAGTGAGGAGGCATACTAATTTCACTCACTCACACTCTCTCGCCCTTTCCAGAGCTGCCTTCCAGTATGGTATCAAGATGTCTGAGGGACGCAAAACCCGACGCTTCAAAGAAACAAATGAGAAAGCAGAACTGGACCGACAGTGGAAAAAGATCAGTGCGGTATGTAGTGTCAATCTCAAATGATAACTCATGGCCAGCTAAACACAGGCAGAGAGCATCCCTGCTGTTCATCTGTTCACAATTGCTTCATTGTTGACTCAAATATGCCTCTAGAGCAAAAACTGTATAAAATATGTTAATAAAATTGCAAAGGATCAGTAATTTGGTACATAGGAAGGGTTAGATGGTACAGTGGGTTAATGGACTCGTGTTGCAGATATGAATCTGGTTTCTGGAGTGATTAGTTGTTATTGGGTTACCATGTGTATCTCATTTCTTTCACTAGAGTACACTGGTTGGTATTGCAAAGTTGATCATGTTGAAAGATGCAGTCTCGGGTTTGTAAAGTTACTGTATGCTCAAAACGTCTTATCAGTCTGTATTTTGTGAAAAAGATTTCATAAAAGAAGAGCGAAAGATCTCCGGATGCTGTAAATCAGAAACAAAAACAGAAATTGCTGGAAAAGCTCAACAAGTCTGACAGCATCTGTGGAGAGAAATCAGAGTTAACATTTCGGGTCAAGTAACTGTTCTGAGGAAGGGTCAACAGACCTGAAACGTTAATTCTGATTTTCTCTCCACAAATGCTGCCAGACCTGCTGAGCTTTTCCAGAAATTTCTGTTTTTGTTAAAGAACGATACAACACAGGGACAGGCCCTTTGGCCCACCAAGCCTGCAACAACACACGATGCCTTTCTAAACAAAAAACTTTTGCCTCTACGCAGTCCATATCCCTCAATTCCCTGCCTATTCCTGTAATCCAGAGAAAGCAGGAAAGAACTCAAACAAGAATTGGGAAGTCTTAAAGGGGCCAGGAAATGTTTTTGGCAAACATGATTAAGGAAAATCCTACGGCGTTTTATTCATATACAAGGAGCAAGAGGGTAGCCAGGGAAAGGGTAGGTTCACTCAAGGACAAAGGGGGGAATTTATGCACGGAGAAGGAGGAACTAGGTGAGGTCCTGAACGAATACTTTGCAGCAGTATTCATGAAGAAGAAGGGCATGTTGGATGGTGAGTCTCGGGAGGGTTATGTTGATATTATAGGGCATGTCAATATTAGAAAGGTGGTGGTATTGGGTGGTTTGAAAAGCATTAAGGTAGACAAGTCCCCAGGTCCTGATGGGATCTATCCCAGAATGTTGTGGGAGAGAGGTCAGGAAATTGTTGGGGTCTTGTACGAAATCTTTGTATTATCTTTGTTCACAAGAGGTCCCAGAGGACTGGAAATTAGCCAACAACATTCCTTTGTTTAAGAAGACAACAGGGATAATCCAGGAAATTACAGGCTGATGAGCTGAGGTGCTGAGGAAATTGTTGGAGAAGATTCTTAGGGATAGAATTTACTCACATTTGGAAAGACATGCCCTTATTAACAATAGGCCGCATGGCTTTGTGCGGGGAAGGCCATGTCTCATAAATTTGATTGAGTATTTTGAGGAAATGACAAAGATGATTGATGAGAGCATTGTGCATGGTAGATGTTGTCCATATGAACTTGAGCAAGGCTTTTGACAAGATCCCTCATGGCAGGCTGATCCAAAAGATGAAGTTACATGGGATCCACAGGCATCGGATCAGTTCATTATTGTTTTGTTTCCCATTGATATCACATTAAAGAACTTTACAAAAGTAAGATAAAGACTACAAACATCTTTTTGTTTCACCTTTAGATCATTGAAAAGAGGAAGAAGTTGGAGGCGGATGGGTAAGTGGTGCTTTCAGTCATAAGATGTTCCATTTTTCATCATTTCATCCCCTTAAGCATCTGACGCTTGCTGGTTTCTGACTTCTGCAATGTTGGTGTGCCTTTTGTAGTTTGCCCAGTTGGTATTGTGTGTGAGAATATTGGCAGCCCTTTCAGCCACATTACAGCCTAGCCTGATTTCCCACCATGTGTTGCAGTCCATTAAGCAGCACTTTGCCAGCTGATAAAACCGTACAGGTTAGAGGTGGATTTGGAGACTGTTCGGCCAGCTTGCATCTGTGCTGCCTCTTTGCCAGAGCAATCATTCACTAATTCCACTGCACCCATGCTGTTCCCCCGATCATGTTTTCAGTCTATCTCAAATCCTGAGTGGAATCATGTCCAGTAGCTATCACTGGATCATGATCAGAGGCAACTGAGCCTTAATGCTGCTCTGACAATCTGTCGTATCTTCAGATACGACACTCCGACGTTTTGTGCTCACTGTGGCTCCATGTGCAATGCATCCCCATCAACAAATGTCTGGTGAAATGTGACTGTCCTTAAAAGTGTGAAAGGATATTTGGATAATTTAGATTAGTTATGTGTGCCTAATTAGAATCTCAAATTAACCGCTTCAAATGATTTACTTTGGATGCTTTAAATTCAACAGGGACATGCCTTCAGGCAAGGCTGCGACTCCTAGTTAATGGACAATACCTAGGTTTATCAAATATAGACAAGATAAAACAATACACATCTATGTAACAACTAATGACAATTTAATTGACAAACAAAAGATCCAAAGAAGCCCAGACAGATTTACAAATCGGTGGCCAATCCAGAACCTAGCAAGTTGACAGGAAATATATCTAGTTTTCATACTAACAGAAACGCAATTCCTAGGCAGAGTTAAATAAAAACCAAAAGAACTGCAGAAGCTGTAAATCAGGAACAAAAACAAAGTTGCAGGAAAAGCTCAGCAGGTCTGGCAGCATCTGTGAAGAAAAAATCAGAGTTAATGTTTCAGGTCCGGTGACCCTTCCTCAGAACAGTTCTGAGGAAATCACTCACGCTTGCTGGGACCCTGAGAACAAAAGAACCCCCAGAAGCTGGGTTAACATAGATCCACAACCAGGCCCTGGGTTGCAAATTACCCCAATTTAATCTGTCCATGTCTCTCATTGCCTTAAACGTGACGACAATGAAGTGTTTTAGAATGATGTCCTTGTCTTTTAAAATTAATGTAGCTCCATTCATCAGTGTCTCTAACATTGTAAGACCATCAAGGTGTCTAGTTTCTTCCAGTCTGTTCAAATAGTATTTTACATAAAGCTATTTGGTTGGAATTAGTAAAATTCCATTCTTTATTAACTAATTAATAACTTATAATTAATAACTTATACTTCAATTATAACATAACTGAGGTACTACTTTAATTGAGCATCTATTGCTGGCTGGTGACTACTTTTTGGTTATTAGAGTTCTGAAATTGAGTCATGGCTACATTGTATGGCAAGGCAAAATGGCTGCTTGGTTTAGTGAGGCCAGTGGTATGTGTAATGTCAAAAGACCCTAAAAATGGCAAAGTTGAACAAACTCTATCAAAACCCAGGTCATCTTACAAAATACGCTAGTTTATTCCTTTTGACTGACGGTTGTAAAATTACTTTTAAAGAGTCAAAAATATATGTGCAGACGTGACAGTTTTCTGTTGGTTTTAGAAAAGGCACTTCACTCAAAGGTTCTGAGTGATGGATTACCATGAAGGATCTCTCCTTCTTAACCTTGCACTTTGCCTGAGGGATGGTGGCTGTTAGGTTAAACCACCACCAGTCATCTCTCTCTAATGAGATTGCAGTGCTATGGTCTGGTAAGATTACGGCAACTTTATACCTAATGTGGAGGTGTTGGACTGGGGTGGACAAGGTCGGAAGTCACCTGACAAAGGAGCAGCGCTCCAAAAGCTTGTGATTTCAAATAAACCTGTTGGACTATTACCTGGTGTCGTGTGACTTCTAACGTTATTCCAGGTAAATTAATGAGTTCTTTGATAAAGGTGGACAGAACTAACTGGGTTATTATCTTTCACAGTCCCAAGATACTTAACACTTTACAGTCAACTAAATACTTTCGAAGTGCATTCACCATTAAAATGTAGGAAACAAAGAAAGCAGCTTTTTCCTCAGCAAGCTGGCATGCTGATCTGTTTCAATCATATTGGTTGAAGAATGGATACTAGTCGGGGCATTCTGCATTGTCCCCTCCTTATGTTCCAGTAGAACAATGGAATCCGTTATATCAATCTGAGAGGGCAGACTCTGTTTGACGTTTCATCTGAAATGTCAACCCAGATTGTCACGCCCAAGTCTCTGGAGTGAGATTTGAACCTGAGACTTTCTGATTCTGAGACAACGTTACTACATAGTCAGTGTCAAGGCTGAAACCAAACTTCAGAATTGGAAAAGTGAAAGATACATGTGTAATTTTGACTTAATCTTGACTCCCAGAAAGTTGTGAGTTTGAACCCCATTCCAGGAGTGGAGCACATAATCTACACTGATACATCATTGCATTTTGAAGGGATTGTTATGTAGTCAGAAATACCAATGAATTTTTTTAAGTGAGATTCCACTCGCTGTTTCAGGTGGAAGTTGAAAACATCACAACATTAATTGGAGTAGGGATTCTCATAATGTCCTGGCTGACACTCATCTTGTAAACAACAGTTTTAAATTGAGGTAACCAGGTGTAGAGCTGGATGAACACAGCAGGCCAAGCAGCATCAGAGGAGCAGGAAAGCTGACGTTTCAGGCCTAGAACCTTCTTCAGAAATGGGGGA